TGTGTCACCTGTGTCACCTGTGTGTCACCTGTGTGTCACCTGAGACCCCCCCGAAATGCTGCGGGTACGGCAGGCTGGGGACAGGGGACAGTGTCACCAGGGTCCCCTGTGCCCCCAGACTGTCTCCAGGTGTCCCCAGGTGTGCCCAGGTGTCCCCAGCACCCCCAGGTGTCCCCAAGTGTCCCCAGGTGTGTCCCCAGCTGTCCCCAGGTGTCCCCAGGTGTCCCCAGCACCCCCAGGTGTCCCCAAGTGTCCCCAGGTGTCCCCAGCACCCCCAGGTGTCCCCAGGTGTGTCCCAAGTGTCCCCAGGTGTGTCCCCAGGTGTCCCCAGCACCCCCCGGTGTGTCCCCAGCACCCCCAGGTATCCCCAGGTGTCCTCAGGTGTCCCCAGGTATCCCCAGGTGTCTCCCCAGCACCCCCAGGTGTCCCCAGGTGTGTCCCCAGCACCCCCAGGTGTCCTCAGGTGTCCCCAGGTGTGTCCCCAGCACCCCCAGGTGTGTCCCCAGGTGTCCCCAGGTATCCCCAGGTGTGTCCCCAGCACCCCCAGGTGTGTCCCCAGGTGTCCCCAGCACCCCCAGGTATCCCCAGCTGTCCCCAGGTGTCCCCAGGTATCCCCAGGTGTCCCCAGGCATCCCCAGGTGTGTCCCCAGGTGTCCCCAGGTGTGTCCCCAGCTGTCCCCAGGTGTCCCCAGGTGTCCCCAGCACCCCTAGGTGTCCCCAGGTGTCCCCAGGTGTCCCCAGGTATCCCCAGGTGTGTCCCCAGCACCCCTAGGTGTGTCCCCAGGTATCCCCAGGTGTCCCCAGGTGTCCCCAGCACCCCCAGGTGTGTCCCCAGCACCCCCAGGTGTCCCCAGGTGTCCCCAGGTGTGTCCCCAGCACCCCTAGGTGTGTCCCCAGGTGTCCCCAGGTATCCCCAGGTGTCCCCAGCACCCCCAGGTGTCCTCAGGTGTCCCCAGGTGTCCCCAGGTGTCCCCAGGCCGCACCTGTAGCCGAATTTGTTCATGGCCACGGAGACGTGGCGGGGGCTGGCGGGGTCGCAGGTGTAGAGGTTGTGATCGTTCTCGGGGATCAGATCCACGTCGTGCAGGAACAGGCACTGCCACTCCTCGTCCTTCAGAGCCTCCTTCACCCCCACGTTCAGCAGCTTGGCGCGGTTAAACGTCGAGTTCCCGGCCTGGGGACCCCAAAAACATCCTGGGGACCCCAAAATATCCCGGGGACACCCCAAAAACATCCTGGGGACCCCAAAAACATCCTGGGCACCCCAAAAACATCCTGGGGACCCCAAAACCTCCTGGGGACCCCAAAAACATCCTGGGGACACCAAAAACCTCCTGGGCACCCCAAAAACATCCTGGGGACCCCAAAAACATCCTGGGGACCCCAAAAACCTCCTGGGGATCCTCAAATCCACCCCTGAACCCCCACGTTCAGCAGCTTGGCGCGGTTAAACGTCGAGTTCCCGGCCTGGGGACACCCCAAAAACATCCTGGGGACCCCAAAAACATCCTGGGGACCCCAAAATAGCCCAGGGACACCCCAAAAACATCCTGGGCACCCCAAAAACATCCTGGGGACCCCAAAAACATCCTGGGGACCCCAAAATATCCCGGGGACACCCCAAAAACATCCTGGGCACCCCAAAAACATCCTGGGGACACCAAAATAGCCCAGGGACACCCCAAAAACATCCTGGGGACCCCAAAAACATCCTGGGGACACCCCAAAAACATCCTGGGGACCCCAAAAACATCCTGGGGACCCCAAAATAGCCCAGGGACACCCCAAAAACATCCTGGGCACCCCAAAAACATCCTGGGGACCCCAAAATATCCCGGGGACACCCCAAAAACATCCTGGGCACCCCAAAAACATCCTGGGGACCCCAAAATAGCCCGGGGACACCCCAAAAACATCCTGGGCACCCCAAAAACATCCTGGGGACCCCAAAATAGCCCAGGGACACCCCAAAAACATCCTGGGGACACCAAAAACATCCTGGGGACCCCACACCCCACTGAGAACCCCCCAAACCCCCCTGAGGACCCCCCCAAACCCCCTTGAGAACCCCCCAAACCCCTTGAAGACCCCTTGAAGACCCCCCAAACCCCCTGAAGACCCCCCAAACCCCCTGAGAACCCCCTGAGAACCCCGCAAACCCCCTGAAGACCCCCCAAAGCCCCCCCAAACCCCCCAGGAGCCCCCCAGGAACCCGCCATGCCCACCTGGTGCACCACGTAGATGCCGTAGTGCAGCTGCTGCCGCTGCAGGAAGGGGTGCAGGTGGTACAGGAGGTGGCCCAGGTGGCTCTCGCGGTTCCGGTGGGGGACGATGACGGCGGTTCTGGAGCGAGCCTCGCACAGCGGGGGGCGGTACCGGCCCCCCGGGGCCACCCCCGGGTTCTTGGCCCGGATCTGCTCCAGGGTGGGGACCCGGGCGAACGACACGGTCAGGGGACCCACTGCGGGGGAGGGGACAGCGGGATGGCACCGGGGGCTGGGGGGGCACGGCGGGGGGGGCGCCGCCG